CATAAAATGAAAAACAGCCAAGTCATGACCCAGTTGATCTGATAATGAAAAAGAGTGTCAAAAATACCCACGTGCCATCAAGATGTTCTTTAAATGTTTGATCAAAAGCACGACAAATTTCCATTATCACGTACAATTTTCCCTGCATCCAAGAAAGAAATTTTACCAGGCTTAAAATGATGCAACCTACAAGTGCAAGTTCAAATAAGCAAAAATAGATAATAATAATCAGACATGTAAACATGGAAAGAAAACTCAATTGTCCTGCCTTATCAACCACTTCTATCAGAGATAGTATCTATACTAAACCAGAAAGAAGCAAAAAGAAAAGATTGAGATCAGAATAAATGAAACAAAATATTTACCCCAGCATCAGCAGCAATAGGCTTCCCAAGACGGCTCAATTCTGCCTCGAGTTCTGCAATAGTCTTTGTAATAAGAGACTGAAGACCAGGTATTCGAGCCTTAATAACAGTTTCCAAATGCTGAAAAAAACAAATTTAACCATGTTTAGTGCCAACTGCCCAAGTATATATGAGGCAGCAGAAAGACACTAAAATAATCATATTTCAATAATGAGATATTTTTATGTGATTCCAATGTTTATGTATTATTAAGGTGTTTAGTTTATCCAAAAACCTGGCATGCATAAGATTAATGATTATATGAGTTTACTATTTTCTAGGTAGTTAGGATCTTGTTTATTTATTCTGTGGCATAGCTGATTCAATTGACTGACTTGTTTTTCTATTTTTAATAGAATATCTAGATAAACTTAAGAATTCGTATTTTTATTTTGGTTGTATTTTAGTGCTTGAAAATGGGGTAGTTCAGCTAAAGTATCAGGTAGTCTACTCATATGATTGTTATACAAATATTGAGTTACTTGCAATTATTGATATTCGAGATCTCCAATTTTGATTCTTTAAAAAATTTCCTGTCTAAGTATTGTACTTATTCTCTTCATCCTAGATCGCTATATCAATACATAATCCACCATAAAATAACAAAGAAATTATGGTAAAACTGCAAATTTACTTTCTTGTTGAAGTATGGGAAAATGAAAGGAAATCTCTAGCATTTCTGTGTTTCTGTTTGTTCCATGTAGGAAATTTCCATGAACACAAACTATAATCAACAAATGCATACCAATCTTACAAAAGTAAAATCTACAAACCTTAGACATCATCTTCCCTAGATACTCGGAACCCATCCTGTCAGCAAGATGTCGATACTCCGAGGTACTTTGGAAGTACTCACGCTCTCTACGGCGAGCAGCAATCATATCAACGCTCTTGTTAATGTCAGCTTGAGATCGATTAACAACGCCAACCCAGGGATACCGTAGCTTGTATGATTTTCCCTCAAGAATCTAAAATACAAGTTTTACTGACAAAGTCATTAAAATGAATAAGGATCTTTAATTTAACATTCATATCCTCATCAGTGAAAATATTCATCATCCTAATGCAGCATAATCTCCATTCTTTCCTCGTCAGTCACATTGCGTCATCGTAATGAAACATATCTTCATTCTATCCATCTCACAAACTATAGATCTTTTTCATTCATAAAACTTCGTCATGACTTGTTACACAACTTTGAAAGTAAAATTGCAGATACTACTTCTTTAATATTATGGATTCCTTAATTTTACATGCCTGAAAGCAAACTTACATCAACAGCATCAGTGCCCTTGTCCATAAGATCAATCTTAGTTAAAACACCAAAAGTCCTCTCCCCTGAATTTAATAACCAATCAAACTATAAATCAGTATCAGCATAACGGGAAAAGCTGCATTCATTTAGTAAAATGTGAAACATTATTAAGAAATATTAACAAAAACGACGATACAATTTCAAAATGCTAGATAATTATTACTTTAGAATCTCAGCATATGCATTGTCAAAATGATTCACATGTTGAAAATCAAGTGAAGTATAATTCTTCACCTCCGAACAACATTGACAAATTTTAGTACTACAATTGCCAAGGAAAGTAAACAGTACCATCTAAACTATTGACGAATAGACCTACTATACCACAGTTTGAACTTTAATCGGTTTTTTACTTTATCTATGTTAGTAGGCAGCAGAGCATGGTAATTACCATTCCAGTATGCAGAAAGAGAGAGGCTCATGCTTACAACATATCTATTCTGAGCCATTGAATATACTCCCAGCAAGGAGAAGAAAATAAATGGAAGTCGTCAATCTAAGAACCAAGGTCAATTATGTCATGTTGAAAGATGAATGCTTATTTTCATCTTTTAATACAATAGACAAGTATAGAAATTATCAATACAAGCTGAATGATGCACAAACATTTAGTTCTTAGAATTAAATTATCATGTAAATTTAAATTTAAACCCAAATTCAGTACAAAAAATGATCTACAAATGAACTTTTCATCAAGAATTAGTATATTCTAAAACATGAATAATTACTTCTCCTCAACCTATGACTTACATAATGAAAGGCTTGATTTTCATGTAGGTGAGGAAGAAAATCCGCCCATCTTTTTTTTTTTTTAATTCTCTTGTAGTTATCTTATTGATATTCATCTCCTTGTTCTTTTTGTTTAATTTCTATTTTACATCTTCTCATGCCAATAGCCTTCAGGTTTTATTACTATGAGGAGAGTTAAGATACACTACCAATTCAACAGGTCTTATCAAGTACTTCAAAAGTAGCAGATAGATCTTGAAACTGCAGAAAGGGCTAAAAAGGTAACAACAAAGATACCTTTAGGGTCAACTTCACGAGAGATCTTAATTGCATCAGATGTAGCAAGATCTTGATTTGCAGGAGAAATAGCTAGTATAATGCAGTTGGGCTGCAACAAGAGAGAGAATTTCGCTCCAAAAAATCCATTATGCAGTAATCACATGTTTACTAACTATACTCATTACTTTCATCTCATAATTTCAGATGATAGATACCTTCTCAATGTAGGACCTAACCATATTTTCTATGTCCTGCACAATGCTCTCAGGTTGACCCTCTGCAATAGAAGAATGAGTATAATGTCTACAGTGAAGTGAATAAAGGTGTTTGAATAATAATTGAAATATGCAAGTAACACAACTCACCCACAGCTACTTTTGTAAGTCCGGGAAGATCAATCAATGTCAAGTTCACAACTGCAAGGATTAAAAAGATCCAAATAAATCTGTCAGACAGAATAATGTATGAAACATAAAGAATGAGGAAATCTTAAGAGGATGAACGACCCATCAGACTATTACTCTTCCACCTCAAGTAAATCTTATGAACTACAAAAGTCTACTTAAGCTGGCAATTGCTGCCGTACACCTATTTTAATTCAAAAACAAAATAGCTTCATTATTATGTTGAAGAGTTCAAACAAGAGACCAACTGATTTTAGAGATTGGAACTTCCAATTTTCTCATGTCAAAGTAACCAAATTTATAATTAGAGGACATTACTGAATCATTTATAGATTCCAATTAGTTCTTGGATAAGATTAAATTCATGCTAAAAAGTTATGCAGCTCACCATTAGGAGAAAAGATGCTAAGGTGAATTGGAACACTAGAAATTTGTTTGGTGCGTCCAGTTTCTCGATCGGTCTCATCGGACACCTCCTTCCTCACAGCAGCTACATGCAAAATAGAATATTAAAATATGTAATAGAACCAGAAAAATAAAATGCATAATCATTAAATAGACTGAAAACAAATATAACACAGACGTAATATGTAACAGAAAGAAGTGAAAATTTTTACCAAAAAGATAAAGGCAAAAACTGTGCGAAAATGGAGAGAAAATATTCTTAATATCTTTCAAAGGGTAAGGAAAATCTGTTATAACAGAGATATACCAAAATCAGTGAACTTCTTCCTAGGGAGGTGCATAAACTCTGCATATTCTCTTCCTTCATCAATTTTATGAAGCTGCAAGACAAGAGGTCGCCGTGTAACAATTCCTACAGGCAAGATATGTTGCATCATATATGTCTCCCATGAAAACATTATATACATATTTTCTTTACATAAAGAATTACAGCAAGAGTACCTGCCCCGCGAGGTAAGAAATCTTTTCCAACTATGCTCTCTAGCACTGAAGACTTTCCAGAGCTCTACAAAGCATCACCAAATCTATACAATTAAATCAGATATTACCCTCTTCTCCCCGCCACCCAAACATAGAAGAAGGAATAAGAAAAGAAGTGTGCTTGATGTGTGTGTGTGTATAATACATCTTCCTATTTGTGTTTGTATTCATGCGCATGTGCATGTGCATGCACACTATGAACGTGATATGAGCATAAAATCACTAATAAACCTACTAGGCGATAATTATTTTCAAGGCGGCCTAATGTTCATGTGAACAAATAGCATGCAAACGCAAAAATTAGAATTTTCCGACAACCATTTCCCAAATATACCCCTCAAGCATTGCATATAGAATTTTTCAACAACCATTAGAATCTAGAAGATGTTAAATGAACCGAAAGATTTGGACGATTGTTTCATTTGCAATCAAAGAACAGAAAAGGAAAAGTATGTGGAACTCACCCATAATGAAAGAGGGTTTTACTTATATATTAAAACTTTGAATGTATATCAAATGAAAATGGAATCATAACACAATCGATATGAGAAGCAGATAAATAATCAATAAACGACAGGGTTACATGGGCCAAAGACAACAAGTAACTCGTTCAGAATGCAATCAAACATAAATGACCAGCTCGGGTTCAACAAGAAAAATTAAAGGATAAAACGAAAAAGATAAATGAAACGAAGGATCCAAAACAGGAGTGACGAGATGTTGTTTAATAATGAAATGCAACTGTAGATATGCAATTAAAAAAACAGGAAAAAAAAAATGAGAAAGAAGCTCAGTATTCAAAATTAAGAGATGAAGAGGAGATCGCGATCTGACCTGGCCACCGACGACGGCAATGGCAGGCAAGGAGTCCCAGAGAGTAGGCAATGCGCTCCCTTCGCCGTGATCACCGAGGGCCGTACAGGCCCTCTGTATCTTGTTCACCAATGTTATCAGGTTCTCCATGCAAGTCTACCCGGTGAGTCCAAGATGAAATCGGGAAGCTGGTGATTGGGTGAGGCGTGTCGCGGGTGGGAAATTGGAGATGGCTTGTTGGTTAGGGAGGAAATGGAAGAGTTGGAAAAGAAAAAAAGAAGAAGAAAAAAAAAAAAAGAGAATAATAATAAATTATAAAACAGGTTTCCGAGCCGAACTAACCGGAACGGTTTGGTTGGTTGTTTGAGAGAGGACGGAAACTTTCCAACGTATAGAAGTATTTTTGTGAGGATTAATATTATTTATTATACTTAATAGGACAAAAAATTACTAAAAATAATAATAAAAAAAATCTATTATTTATTATGTGATCAGAATTATTATTGACGAGAAAAAAAATTACACACATTAAATATATAATTTTATAAATAATATAGTAGAGTTAATTGAACTCACTTAACAATATGATATGATTATGAAATTAATTTTTTTATTTAAATAAAAGTTTATAATCTATTCATCACATAAATATTTAATTTAATCTTAATTATTGCAAGCCCCCAAAACCCCAAATACAACAAAACATGTATAACGTATCGCTGATTGCTGAACCCAGCACATATATGCAAGTGCTCGTAAAAGTCAATGACAATTGACTATTTACAGTCACGCATTCATCTGCATCTCTCTCAGTGACCTTAATCCCGGAGTCTCCCCTGTTAGTGGCATATTCCTTGCTTTAAAAGAACTCGAATGGCATCTTCGTTATAATGGGACAAGACAAGGGCTCTTTCTACCACACGTTTCCACTGCACATAAATACCAATCAGCTCGTCTCTTTCTCGTCCCTGTTTCTTTCTCTACTCAACTCGTCTTGTCTTTCTCTCTCCCCCTTTCTTTCTCTTTTCCCTCTGTTTGGTTTAATTGGCGGTATAATGCGGACTGAACTGGAGCGCGGACGTCTCTGCCATGGACTTGATTAATGCGAAACCCAGGTTTAGCTTTCTTTCTTTCAATCCCATTACCACGAAAACCAAGCGCTTGTACCCAACTCCCGTATCATTCTTCAGTCTTACTTCTATCAACAAGTTTAAATCCTCTACGGTTTCCTTTTCCTATAAATCCCAGTCAAATCTCTCGCGCCCAAAACAGAGTTGTACTAATAGCACTTTCCCCTTGAACCAGTTATTGTTCCTGCTGCCAATCTTCCAAAGCATCAAGCACTTAGCTTACAAACAAACCCGGAGATGGGTTTCCACTTTAAGGGCGTATACCGCCGATACGGAAAAGTTTCGGGAGCAACACGGCGGCAGATGCTTGCAAAATGGAGGTATTGGGGTTGCACTGTTGAGCGTGACGGCGAGCGCTAAAGTTCGAATCAGCCCGTTTGTGGCGACACTAATGGCGAACCCGACGTTTATATCCGGCTTATTTGCGTGGTTTATCGCGCAGTCTACGAAGGTTTTTTTGAACTTCTTCGTGGAGAGAAAGTGGGATTTTAGGTTATTTTTTGCGTCTGGTGGCATGCCTTCTTCGCATTCGGCACTTTGTACGGCCTTGACGACGTCGGTAGCGCTATGTCATGGAGTAGCAGATTCTTTATTTCCGGTTTGTTTGGGGTTTAGTTCGATTGTTATGTATGATGCAATTGGTGTTAGACGCCATGCGGGTATGCAAGCTGAGGTAAGCATTTTCTTTCTGACTTTCGTTTTGTTGTGCTTTTTATCTTTAATGTTTTCTTGTTTGTTTTGGTGAATAGAGGATTTATTCTTGTCTTGTAGGCTTTTCATTCTCTTTTCCTTTTTGGTTTACTTATCCATGGCTGTTGTTACCTTGGATTATAGGACTGTCTTATGTTCCTAAATGAATAAAAATTGATGTAAACCTGTTGGTTTTTTGTGATTGATACAATTGCTGGATGCTATTGTCCTGGCTGTGCCTCTGGTGAATCATATTTGGCATAAGGTTCACCAGAAGAATGCTGTTATATATCAGGAAGGAGAAGAGTAAAAAGTGTCCTAATTAGTTTTTTATCAGATAATTGTTAGATGTTTTGGAGATTTAAGGAATTTAACTCCTGCCCTGAGGTAGACGGTTATGGAATCTGGCTTCTTAATCTTTGTTGGGTGGTTGGAGAGGTTTCTTATTGAAGATGAACTGGAGGCATGTGATGGCATTAGGTCTGTAACAGTAAAGTTAGGATAGAAGTCGTACTCCTCATTCCTTTAATCATGTTTGGATTATAAGAAAAGAAAGAAATAAAAGAGTTCTTGAGGAAATTTTCTATCTTTCTGAAAAGATTAAAGAGCAGTGGTTCCTTATGAAATTTGCTATCTTTGATGAAAAGTTTTTCTCTCTGTGATGAGATGATTGAAGGAATATCTTAGATAGTTTGATAGACTCTATTTTGTGAATTCCTTTCTTACATGGGTGGTTCTTTGCCTTTCAATGATATTCTCTTTAGCTGTAAAGAAGGATTGAGGAAGCAAAGAGCATTACTAGATGCTCATATAGTGGTTGGGTTTTTCGAAGACATACAAGAATATGATGAGGGATAGGATGCTCTGTATGGTACTTGGACTTGATGACATCAAATTCAAAGCTTAACTACGTTAAAAGCTAATTTCAGGACCTAAGTTCTAACCAGATAGGTAGTTTTGTGGTTGTTAGTTAATTTCTGTTCTTGTACTTATCTGTATTGGTAAATTTGCATCATGGATAAATAACTGATGGAATAACCTGTCTCAGAACCGTCATGCTATTGCCAATGTCTGTCGTTTGAAGCTAATTTTGTCTATGTGCTGTCCTGATTCTGTATGGTACTACTTGAGTTTTCTATAGGTGATGGGGGAAAGTATTGCATGGCTGGATAAACAAGTCAAAAGAAGAGCTTTGTTAGTAATTGAAACCAAACTAGCAACTTTTGTTAATAAATGGTTCTTGCTGGCTCCTGCTGGGGAAGATATAATGAGCTCCTTCCACTTTCACTACCATCCAGTTATTTGGAATTCATGTTGGTTTCAATTATAAGGATGTTTTTTATCTTCTTTTGATTTCTTCCTTTTATGACTCAAAGTTCGGAGCGGTATCAACTCTGCTCATTTTGGACCTGGGAGTGCTGATCCATTCTTTTATCTTTTTGGTGCTTGAGGAGCGGAGCTGTGTACCATCAATCAAAAAAGGGATTGTTTAATAGCTTTGATTTTCCTCTCAACATATACCACTTTCTTCTCTTTCTTGAGTATGCAAGTGTTTAGGATTTTAAGTACTGACAGAAGTTAATGTTTGGTAACTTCTTTACTCCATTAGTAGTTTATGATGCACCCTAATTTATTTTTCTTTCTTTTTTCCCCCTCTATTTAGTGTTGAAAGGTCAAAACTATGGGCTTCATAAGCCAGGAAAAATTAATGGGCTAGTGGGTACTTAAGAAATCAATTGATGATAATTCGCTTTGTACACTTCATTTTCAAGTTCTAGAGTTAGTAGAAGTATTGTGCCAGGGTCATGTAAAGTTTCTTTTGGTGTATCATCTCCAAATTATAACTATTTATGATGATATACTCTAAATCATAGATTGCATTTATAAAATACATAGATTTTTTCTTTGGAAATAAAATATTAGAAGCTTAGGATAAGCCTGCCACCACAGGATCATATACAGGAAATTTGAAGTTCCGAACTTGTCTCTCCACTTATCATTCCTAGTATGGCTTTATAACTTGCATCTTTTTGGACCTTGCGCGAACGTTCATGTATAATCATTATATGTTGCTTCTGCTGCATTCACTTTGTGGAGCATATGCAGTTTGATTACTTTCATTGCCATTCATAACCACATCACTGGATCTCTGGTTGGCTGCCAAAAGCAAGTTTCTTGTTTCTCTTTGCCTTTCAGATTATTATTACCTGCTCTTTGATGTGGACTACATCTTTTTGTTTCCTGCACAAGTAGGTTCTTAATTTGATTGTTGAGGACTTGTTCCAAGGGCACCCTATAAGTCAAAGAAAGCTCAAGGAACTGCTCGGCCACACTCCATCACAGGTTCTTGCAGGAGCAGTGCTCGGCATTATGGTGGCTTGTATATGTTGTCAGGGTTGCTTGGTTGCAACCTGAGACTGCTTTTGCAGGCAATTTTTGATCAGATTATATTGGTATGTTTAAACTGCTCTTATTTATTATGTACAGGCTGATCTCTGAGTTAACATATATTCTATCATTTGTTTATTAAGAAAATAACTTGATCACCCGTAAAGGAAGAGTGCTCTTGCTTGATTAGATCATTGACAAAAATATGAAATTTGGCAGCCTCTTCAACCGAATGAAGCAGTGATCCCATGATTAATATTTTCTTAATCTTTTTGGGAACTAGTATTGCAAGATAATTAAAGTTGACTGTTGGATTAAAACTTCACAATACAAAGTAGTTAGATTCAATACAGTTTAAACATTAATTCAACGAAATATAAATAAAATAGAAATTTAAATTAATAAAACGTTATAATTACAATTATGAAAAGTTGATTTAATTATGTATTAATCATAATTAGTTTTTACGTACTGAGTAAATAAAACTCAAGAATTGAGAAGCAAAAAAAATATGTTTAAAAAGTATGTTTTGGGAGGATGCCCGATGGATGAGTGGAATTAAAACTTGAAAGTTGAATATCTTCTTCAGTTTGGAAGGGTTCATTAGTAGAATGGGAACCACGGAATGAAATGGATGAAAAATTTAGGGTTTCCTGTGTGTAGTGCATAGAAATATTTTATACTCTTGTATCTTCTGTTCTTTTTAGTATTTCTTATAAAACTGATTTATTTATATTCTTATTATTTATATATAAATACATTTCTTATATAGTTTTATAAATACAACATATGATTTTTTTTTTTTTTTTTTTTAAAAAAGAAAAATTAAATTTTAGAAAATATTTTTATCTTGTTATAAATCATCATTTGTCAACTAGTAAATTAGACTACCAAGTTAAATATCAAGAGTCATGTAAATCAATATGAGATGCATTTTTGATCAACTTCCCACACATCTCTAAACGTCTACGGGAAACCAAAAGTTACTTACTGTATAAATATATCCATTGTTGTTCTACTTTAATATAAGTGCAAAAGATTTAATAAAAAATATGTTTTATAATGAAAATTAAACTTCAAATTCTGAGAAATATAAATGTTAGTCTTTCCAGAATAAAATCTTTAAATAATAACGTAGTGGGAAAATTACTATTTATAAAAGAAAATTGTGTTTTACCTAATTCCATTAATTTCTAATCTTGTGTGCTTTCCACATAATTACATGGACCGTGATACCTAATAATAACACTTGTTTTCGTGCCATTCTTGTCTCCACTATACCCTGAAGTTGGGTTCCGATTGGACCGGCCCACACCCTAATTTCAATTAATTATTATATTATTGTTTTTCGTAGAACAAGATTTAATGGGTACAACCACCCAAGTGCTCGTGACCCTCCTATTGCAGGTTACCCATAACCAATTTGATAAAATTAAATTGCTAACTTTAAAAATAAATTATGATCAAAAGAACATTTAAGTAACGATTAGATTCTTTAATCGAATAGTAATAACAAAGGAAAAATTCAGTCTATCAATTACTTTTACAAATCTTCTGATCCATTCTGACTTTTAAGTTTTTAAATGATAAAAAATATTATGTCAACACGTGTCCCCTCCACCTCAAAACTAAGATGCCACTATGGTAAATTGTAGAGAGAGGACTTGGTTGCAATTCAATTCCACCCAGACTGTGTGCGCAAAAGAACTGTTGTATGATATAAAGATTGCTAACTTGTAGAAAATATTTAAATTGAATTTTATTTAATTTTTAAAAATATGTAAATATTAACATCGTCAAATATTACTGAACATGACCGATGCTGTTTCGAATTTTAACTAAAAAAATTGACTAAATTTGCAGCAGTGTATTCCGGTTTACATACTGAAAATGGTGCCGCCAGGGAAGATGAGAGAAGATCACTCTAACATCAAATTCCAAATGATTAGGATTCCTGTGATGACAATTGGGTCATTTTCTCTTTCCCTGACACACCCAACTTGATGCCATATCGAGGAAGCCAATAACATGTTGCCAAAAAACATTGCAGCACAAACAACATCAAGGAGTTTCAAGACCTTTTCAATGCCATGAAAGTGAAACATTCATGGAAAAACATCATGCTGCGGAGATACAAGCCCCGGCTCTTCCTCTATGCACTGGTTCCATTTTTCCAGCAGATCACTAGCGCCAATCTTATCTACGTGACATCAACATGAACTAAAATAAATGATGTCATCATCGTTTAAGTCTGTTGATATTTGTCGGTATTAAGTTTTTTAATAGTAGGAGGATAATTTGTATATTCTTAAAAGTAAAAGTTGATTTGAATAAAGAAAGAATTAAAAGTAAGCCTATAACATAATTTCTAGGGTGGATAATTATCTTCTGTACATCAAAGAAGATCGCCGTTTCAGATGAAGTTCAACTAACGCAGCCCCGCTCTTCACAACGGCACTAATGGCGTGCGCTGTGCACTTGTAACTCACCAAATAAAGCTGCCGTTAGGAAATAAAAGTGAAGAAAGAGGTCAATAACTACCGAAGACTCTGCGAATAGCCTGGTAATTCTCAGCTTAACGAGATTTTTCGTGATTACAGAAATAAAGATGTAAACAATCTTATTTACATAATAATTTTTACAGAGAAGGGTAGGTTCAAGTAAAAAGGAGCAAAACTATTGTCATTTCTCAAATGGGTTGCAATTCATCGAAGAAATCGAGATTGGGACGACAATTCCAAGTGCAGAATTTCACTCGTAAGACCCAATCAGAGAATTTCTCTGTTCTTGCCTCTGAAACTGCTTGTGAGTCTTTTTTTTTTTATCAATGCTCCGCATTTGATTTTTGACCACTTCATCTACGTTCTGATTTGGGTTGTTTATTTATGGGTTGGATGAACGGAGTGATATAGTTTGTGCATTAAAATGTGATTGTCTTTTGGGGTGTGTCAGTTGCTTTAAATGAAGTGGAATCCTTGTACGAGCTATACAAGAATCTGAGCTGCTCTGTCGTCAAAGATGGGCTAATACATAAGGTTTATTTATTATCTAATTATTCTCTTCTTCACTGGTGAGATTATATTCATTGAGTGTACTCCCTTTTTATTTGACTGATGCAGGAAGAACTTCAGCTTGCAGTACTTAGAAACAGCAATAAACAGAGTTTCTTTTTAGATAGGGTATGTGGTGTTAATTGTTTTTGTTTCTTACAACCGTATGTTTTCAATATATGCTAATGTATGATTTTCTATCTTTGAGGAAAGAAATACCCAATTAATGTGATGTGTTAGTACTGCTTATTAGAGCCTTTTCTGATAGAAAAGAAAGCATGTTAATGGCTTGAAACAAGTGGGCTCTCAGTTTCTACTAAATGGTTTTTTAACAAAAATCTGATAAAGATACTGTTTCTGATATCTTTCTTTTTTGGGTAGATATTTGATCTTTTTGATGTGGATGGTAATGGCCATATTGAATTTGGAGAATTTGTTCGATCGATGGCTGTCTTTCACCCAAGAACTCCCCAAACAGACAAAATCAAATGTAAGATCTGCGTTTAATGATGGATAATCTTTTTCTTGTCTTCCATTTTCTTCCTATTGAATATTCAGTATATCCTAATTGGAACTAAGTTCTGCCAGAGGTATAGCTATTGACTTGTTATGGCTGGTAAAATGGTTGATTTTTTATGACAGGTGCATTTTAATTTGTATGACTTGAGACGCACTGATTTTATTGAGCGTATTGAGGTGAATTACGTTGATATTTTCTCCTTTGCTCC